CTAATAAAGTGTGCGTATGGTCGGGAGAGTTTTTATAACGTTCTACTCGAACTATATTTGAAGAAGCTACCCAAAAAACACTAATCTTCGCAAGACATAATCCGGGTTGCCGTATCTTGGTTATTCGGCGCTTTTCACCTGGGATATTTTCCTTTTGTCGAGTGCTTGATTCGCGGTGCTTCATAAAACGGCAGACAAAAGTTTTCCGAATATCACCGTTTACAAATTCATACGAGTCCCATTTCGTCCAAATATTCGAGACTAATGGCCACCAGTTATCATTAAAATCATTCGTTGGAATTTCTAGAGAACTGTTTACGTAAAAAAGAAGGTCTCGTTTTTGTTGTTGAGACTGCTGTTGGGCTTGCTGCTGCAATTGTGGTTGTTTCTGTAGTTGCTGCTGCTGCTGTTGCCGCTGCTGCTGGTGCTGGTGCTGTTGCTGGTGCTGGTGCTGCTGCTGCTGTTGCTGGTGCTGTTGCTGGTGCTGCTGCTGGTACTGTTGCTGGTGCTGCTGCTGGTGCTGCTGCTGTTGATCGTGCGGAGTGTCGTGATTGTGAGGGTATGGCTGTTCATAAGAGTATAAAGGTTGTGGCTGTTGATTCATATTTGTGTGTTCCATAGTATTGTATAATAGAGCAAAGTGTATTTGTGATGACGTGTCTATTATGATCGTGGAGGGTATGTATATGCATATAGTTGTATAATTAGGAGGTACAATAGTCGTCTTCGAGATTTAATCTCGACGCTACAGGTAAAGGAGCGCGGACATGACAACAACAACAAAAAAGACAATATTACGCGATGATGTAATCGGCCACAAATAATCTTTCGATACTTCCGAAAAATTCCGTAAAAACCACGTGATTTGCCCCCGCTTTAGCCATCCCCAATTTAGGTAATGAAAAGTGGAATAAATGGGCACAACATCGGACGTTTTGTTCTTTAGCAAAAAAGAAACGGATGTGAACACAAAATGCGCATAAAAATAAAATTGATGACACATCCTACAAAGAAAGGCTGATAACGTACAATATTGTCAACCGTTGACCACTTATTTTCGTCCACCTGCTAACAATCTATGACTTATTGAAATATGGCGGATGCTTATTACCTCTTCTTAAAATTTAAACTAAACGTAATTAGCAGCCAGTTGCGGATAACTACGCATTTATAAGTTACAGGAACAAAATAATAAACACACTGCCTAAAAATGAAAGTGGGAACAAAAAATTGGAAACATGAAATAAAGTTATTTTTCCGATAACCTGCTATAATCAGTGTTTTAAAATACCCAAAAACTTATTATAAACTTGGTAACAAGCTTCCCACAAACGTTACGGTCACAAATGCAAGCGTAGTTGCATTTTTCGTAAAAGTCCAGCTAGGGTTTTTCTTCTTACAGACATCATGGGTTACACTACGTGTGAAAAAATTTTTAGCTGGAAACTAGCTCACTTCTTTTATGAACAAATACAATCTTTCTTGAGAACCGTTTTCTCATAAATCGCTTCAATTACTCACATTATTGGCAATCGAATGATTATTCAATTATATTTATTTGTAATTATATTCATTAGTTTTTGTCTGTTTGCAACCCTAGTTGTGCACTTTTGACATATATGTAGTATTTTGTTGCTAAACGCATGTGGCAAAAAAAGTGGCAAAATTTTTATCGCTAGGTTCAACTTTAAACTACACACGTTACCAAGCCCTATACAAGACAAGGCTTTTAACTTATATTGGGAAAGTAATAATTAAAGCAACCGAATAATAAAGGTGCTTTGTCGAATGTCATACGGAAATTTTGTTTGGTAGACGATAACATGTTTTTATTCACAATCAAGTAAACGTTTAGTGCCAAACCACTACTCTTGAACAAGCTGCACTATTAAGTATAAATGTTGCTCAGTTTGAACATGTTATGCGCATAGTAGTAAGTTAATTAATGAGTTATGAGCCTAACTTGCTACTACATATACAATGAATGACACACAAACAGGCTATTTAGTAATCTCAGTCAGTCTTTGGTTGGATGTTGGTTGGACCTTTTGGGGGAGTACCATGATGACCAAGATAAGGAACGCATTGCCTCCGTCTATGGCAATCCGCTATGACACGGTCACCAGGGAGCCATTTTTTGCTCAAATTGCTTAATAATCAATGGTTTTAGAAAAAAGTTTGGTGAGTGCGAGATAAACAATATCAGTATCGTTAGTACAAATTCACCAATTACTTGACGATTGAAATTTTCCTCTCTCTCTTTTTTCATTGATTTTAGTCTCGATTTAAACATTTACCTTTCGCTGAACGGGAGCGGCATCGATACAATAGCATTTGCAAGTGCAATAACGGCGAGAGCGATAAAGGTTAAGCGAAAAAACTTGGTCATTTTATTGGAGTAAGAAGACGTTTGTTTTTTGGTTTTTTTTTGTTTTTAGGGTAGCTGCGTATTTGATATAAAAAGAGAAAGTCGATAAGACCCAAGTGGGTTGGTTTTTTTTTCTTAAAAGAGCGTACGGATGTGCTTGTGATGTTGACTAAGACCCAAGCTCAGTCGAGAGGAATGCCCACCAGGAATCTTACAACGCCGTATTTATACTTAATGACTAACGAGTATAACAAGGAATTAGTGCCAAAATTTGTCATACGCAAAGTACTTGTTGTTTGCTGTTATCTCTTGTTCGGAGAAAAAACATTTTTGATTTTTTCTGCGGGAACGAATTAGTAAACGGTTTACTACTAATAGCTATCTATATGTCCCCTTTCTCATCATTTCGATCGACGTGGCGTAAGTCCTGCATGCAGAACCTCTTGATTTCAGACTACTTTAACTACAAAATTGGTTAGATAAATCTGTGCAACGTGCATGATGCCAAGAAGTTTAGCATAATAATAACGTTATTATTATACTACGACTTGATTATAGTCAATAACTCCGACACTTTTTTCCCGACACTTTTACACGCTAGTCAAATTAGTCCATCTGTGTTAGTTATAATTGACGATGATTTGATGAATGGCCACTCCATATGCAGAATATGCTGTAAGACCGTAAAGTGTCGGGAAAAAATGTCGGAATTATTGACTATGAATTGTAAACTTTTTATATTATGAGGGGTGAGTTTTAAAAATTTGTCAATTTTTTAAAAGCAAAGTCTATGGTTTGCTTTTAAAGGTATCGGTATTTGACAGATGTTAAAAAATTTAAAAATATAAACTGACACCTATCCTAAAAATCAAGGGTCTTAATGCAGCGTCCGCAAGAATGATAGTGGTCTTTGAATAATCAGACAGTTAATTATTAATTGCTGAGTTAGATCATAGCCAGCGAAACAATCAAAAGATATCAAGCAACTCCGAAATAGTAAGCAAACAGTGTCTGGAATCTTAAGATCAATTCCTTTAAGCAATACTCTGATACTAGTGAGTGTATCTTTGCTATTCTTTGGTAATCGTTAAGAGTGACAAGACCTACAGGGCCATTACATATACGCCTTGCAATAATCGCAGCCTTATACCGGACAATTAGATACAAATTCCGTAATTATTATAGACGTAAAGCGTAGCATACGAACATATTGTAGCCGACTTGATGTTGTTAAATTGGATACAAACTGTCTGCTGAAAAAATAAATATTCGTATAGCACGATTCATGGTCCAGTTCATTGCCCGACAATCAACTACCAAGAAAGATAACTTCCAAAAATATTGGCGGGCAAATGACCGCACCCATTGTAGTTAGTTTCAGTAACCAATCAATATGTTGATACTGCAAGATAAGATTGGATTTTTTAACTCTAAGGCGCATATTTGCACAGCAGTGCCCAAAATTATTGAATCGGTTATCAAATAGCCCAATCTTAAATCGATGTAAAAATTTGTGGCAAATTCTAAGATATAAAAGTAAAAATTGCAGTAGAAACTTTCGTGGAGCAATCAGAAGCAATGGGATAAATTACATATCGATATGTTAATTGCTTGTAACATGCCATTGTAACAAGACTATGATGCAAAATTATTTATTGATGTTCTGAATAACTTTGTTTATAATTTTCGTTGCTGCTTAGTTATCTAATTTATGGTGCTCTTAAACCACACTTTACTAGTTCCATCCCCTTTGTCGTGACATTGATAGATATCTTTGCAATAATTATCAAAGTCTTCTAAAACGTATCGTTCTAATGTCTCCTAGTAATAAAGCAAAATTAGCGCGCTGCTTAGATAAAGCGTTTAAGGTAACCCGTAGAGTCAACTCGTATTCGAGTTTCAAATACAAAAACGTTGAAGTCTTGTGATCTGGTATCATATGATAACTAATTTGTGGCAGTGTAATCCTCAGTTGTGGCGCAGATCCAACATAGACAGTAAAATCACTATACAATCGAATCTCCATGAAAAAACCTTTTATAAGGAACAACTTCTCATAAGAACATTTTATCATGGGACAAATCTGACTTATCCATAAATGAACTACCCTATAAGAAACACTTTTAAGATAGTACATAATTTGGCTACCGTTCGCCTGTATTAGTATTGTAACAGATCAGGTGATATATTAAGGAGGTATGCAATTAACCAATGATATTACGCCAAAGCGATCTAACGAAGCTTAATACTTCCCGTATCATCGTAATAGCAGCAACAAACATGGCCTTAAATCAGTCTGATAAAGAATGGTTACTAAAAAGTATTGAAGATGGAAGCATTCGGTTTTATCCTTTCGATGACTTTATTGACCACTTGTGCATCGGTGGCGGAGCATATGGAATAGTTTTCAAAGCCAAAATGAAGTCACTTGATAGAATGGTCGCATACAAACTTTTGAATTCGCACAATGAAGATGAGATGATCGAAAACTTTGTCAAAGAGGTTGGTAATACAGTGGCGGCTTATGTTTGAATTTATTGCTTTACTTAAACCATCCAAACGATACCTTTAGCTCAAGATTCATTGCAAGGTTGATGATCATTCGAACATCATTCGATTCTTTGGAATCAGTAAAGGTAAGCGTTGAGGCGTCGTTACGGGGGTCACTCATTATGATAGACATTAACACAAAGACTTAATTACCAGATACGATTAATAGATATGTAATGGTCTTCAAATACGCCGACGGCGGTTCGTTACGATCTTACTTATCGGATTCGTCTGTCGAACTGGATTGGCCTGCGAGATGCAAACTTGGTATCAACATCGCTAATGGCCTGAAGCATCTTCACGGGCGCGGTATTATACATAAGGATCTGGTAATTATAGATGCGCAGAACAATGTCGTATGTTTGGAATCTTTTATAATAATAAACAATTTATTACTGTTTAGTCTTCATATAATATATTGATTCACGCCGGCGTGGCAAAGATAACAGACTTTGGGTTGTCTGAGCCAATATTACAACAAAAAAGCTATTCAAACATTCGAGGAACCCTTCCATATCTTGACCCCAGATGCTTGTTTGACCCTTCTACTAAGCGTGATGAAAAGTCGGATATATTTAGCTTTGGAGTGGTATTATGGGAAATCTCTGGCGGAAAGAAACCATGTGATGGACTCCAGGATTATAATGGCATCGTAAGTTATAGACTAAATGCTAAACGAGATGCTCCAGTCTCAGGAACTCCGGAACAATATATCATGTTATATTCAGAATGTTGGGATGATGATGCAGACAAAAGACCATCTTGTGTGCAGATTGCTGATAGATTAAGCATAATAGGTCAACTATCAACAGTTTTAAACCATTCATTTTCTGATGAGTTGTCAAGCAAATGCCAAGAAGCATTATCAAGGGGGAAAAGTAAGGATCAGATTTGTAACTCAATCAAAGATTGGTTAGCACAACATGGATGGTATCAACAGAGTACTCCACTTGTTAAGAGGCTCAAGGATCATGTTGATTGTGGGCAATGTTGTTGGCTACTTGGCTTTTTTTATCAATATGAAATAACAGATGGAAAGGATCTTAGTCAGGCAATCTATTGGTATAAATTGTCAGCAGAAAAAAATTATGCTTTTGGACAATATAGTCTTGGTCATTGCTATGAAATGGGTATTGGAGTAGAGAAAATTTTTGAAAAGGCAATTGAATTATATGAAAAAGCAGCTGAACAGGGGCATGCTAGTGCACAAAGTAATCTTGGTTATTGCTATCGACATGGAATTGGAGTAGAGAAAGATGTGAAGAAGGCAGTTGAATTATATGAAAAAACAGTTGAACAAGGAAATGGCCATGCACAAAATAATCTTGGTTATTGTTATCAATTTGGAATTGGAGTAGAGAAAGATGTGAAGAAGGCAGTTGAGTTATATGAAAAAGCAGCTGAACAGGGGCATGCTAGTGCACAAAATAATTTTGGTTATTGTTATCAATTTGGAATTGGAGTAGAGAAAGATGTGAAGAAGGCAGTTGAGTTATATGAAAAAGCAATTGAACAAGGAGATGCTTATGCACAAAATAATCTTGGTTATTGCTATCAATATGAATTGGAGTAGAGAAAGATGTGAAAAAGGCAGTTGAATTATATGAAAAAGCAGTTGAACAAGGAAATGCTGATGCACAAACTAATCTTGGCCATTGCTATCAATATGGAATTGGTGTAGAGAAAGATGCTAAGAAGGCAGTTGAATTATATGAAAAAGCTGTTGAACAAGGAAATGGCCATGCACAAACTAATCTTGGTCATTGCTATCAATATGGAATTGGTGTAGAGAAAGATGCTAAGAAGGCAGTTGAATTATATGCAAAAGCTGAAAATAAAAAGGTAACTGAGCAGAGAAACATTGATGCACAGCAATATCTTAAAGATTCTTATAATAAAAAAGAGGGCATGAAAAAGAAGATTAAAAATTGGTTTACCCAATAGTCACAAGTTGTTTTATATTATATTTAATGCATTTGTCAACTAACAGCATGGTTTTACATTTTGCTGAAACTGTCATTTAGTGTAAATTATTAATGTAAAATGTGGTTACTACTAGAAAACTTATTGCTATTAACAGATGTCAAAGTGTTGTTGTAAATTATGCAAGTTTATGTAGTGTAGTACATCTATTATTATTTGTGCTATCTATTGTATAATACAGAACTACTTTATTTGACCTGGTTGAAATAATCTTTTAGACGCCATTGTGTTCTGTCAATTTATATAATATTCAGCAAATAAAGACAATTTTGTTCTTGACATAAGAATTTATAATAACTTGGTAAGCAAACATTACAATTGGGCAGTTTAATGTCAAATTAGGAGTATGGTTTGCAAAAGAGTCCCATATTAATATGACTGTATTAGCTACAATTTTTTTGTCTACGACTACGAGTTGTAAGACAGTTGCCTGTATAATTATAATATTATTATGTTTTTAAAAACTTGTTGATAATTTTTTATCAAAATATAATTTGTCAAAATCTATTCGTTGACTATAAATTCGGAGGTCCGGCGCAATGTCTTTGCAAATATGCAACATTGTTATAGATTAACGAACCACTAGTATACTGTGTTTGGATTAGCTTGTAACATAACTTTTTAAAATGTTGTTTTGAAATGTAAAGATTGCCATAGTTATATGGTAATGGATAAATAAAGATATAGACTTACTATATCAGATGCTTCTGAGTCATCTTTTTAGTGAAAGTTAATATAATCGTCATCATTCAAGCTTACGTTCGATCGCGGTAAATATTATTAAAAAAGCAACAGGATAATATCTTATATAGATAAAGTATTGTCAAAACGTATATTATATAACTAGTTCAACAAAATATCTGTATTTAAGTTTAAGATAAATGTTCAACATAATTTATACATTGAACGTTCGATTGACCAGTAATTACTTCTATGAGTTAATCAATATCAAATGTGCTATACGATTTACTTTATGCTGTCATGACAGTAGTAGCTTTACGTATGCGAATGCGGTTTTGGAGTTTATAGTTAACCGCATAATCGGCATTGCAGTAATTGTTACGTAGAAATGTTATGGTGTCATAAGGTAGGATGTGAGTGTATACGAACAATATACGCAGTAAAGTCCGCTTTAACGAAGAGCTCCGTTCCGCCAAAAAAATTTTGTTAATGCGGAAAGTTTCGTTAAAGCGGACTTCTATCTATATAACGAATAATACATATAATCACGTGATATTCGTTAAAGCGGATTTATTTATTTACTTCTATTCCGTTTCTCTATTGATTAATAAAATTCTCCAAACATGTCTGTTTTTTTGCTGCAAACACTTTTTTCAACAATTTGTTTACGCACTTGTTTTAACTGACTATAACTGAATGTCGACACTTAGATCTTGCTGCTGACAAAATAAGACAAGATTATCAAGAGCCGTTACAGCTTGAACAAAAGAAACCTTTTTTCTTGCTTAATCTTTTCTTGCTCTCTTTCCTCTTCGATTTTTAACACATATTTTCTTCTTCATGACAATTGCAAGATTTGTACGTGGTTTCTTTGGTTCGGAACAATGTTTGTCTTTAACTCGGGGACGTTTTTTGGAAGAAGATTCTGTATCTAACAATGGTGAGACTTGTTCCTCACAGTCACTTGCAACCTGACGGGCGAAGAATTAGACATCTTTATTACATGCGATGTGTTGGTCAGATCTCTATATACTGTACAGTAATGCTATAACGAACTTCGGTATGCACGAAAATTTCGGTATATCATGCTAATTAGGCGATCTTCGTTAAACTGAATGATTTTCTTATTAGTGGGTTTGAAATTTTTTCGTTATATCGTTATACAGATTTTAATTATAAATCTTCGTTAAACCGGGAGTCAAGCATATGTAAATGAATCGGCTCCATAAACAAGCTTCATTATAAGGTCATCTTCGTTAAAGCGGACTTTACTATGTAATACAAGTATTAATACAGGTTACTTGCACCTATATAGATTATTCATCTTTTATGTTAAATTTGCAAGCGTTAGAATAACGTTTATAACCAATCCCAGTTGTTTATATGTACGACAATAAATTATTTTGTGATGTTGTTACCTTATCACTAGAAATTGTGTGTGTGCAACCACAAATAATCGCCGAAAATCGAGACAAAAAGTGCAGACAATAATTTCGAGTATTTGTAAGCACGTATACAATTTATCAACATACGCAGCTTTGCTAATGAATAAACCAACTGTATTGAGTTTCTACATTGAGATGAAGAGGACTACTTTCAACGAGAACAAGTTTCTAGTGGATTGGCAAGGGCTATCAATACTTTTTCGTTCCATTCTACTCATTATAAATCTTTGAATAAGTGCGAGTTGCAAACAAATTTTCGATAAACAGTTGCCAAATAATCGAAGAACGTATGTCTTGTAAATAGACCATAGTGTATATAACATCGAAACGACTATCTTCTTATCTTAGTTACTTCGCCTTAATTGCTTTCTGTCATCACAGCACCGCATTTCCCGTCTTAATACATGCAGGTATAACTTAGCAATCAATTGCTTAACGTTAGTATTATTATCGCTGACTACAACGTTTATTATATTCTATCCAAACTGAAATAAACGAGCTTACTAGACATGGCAAACAAATTGCTTTGTATTGGGTTTTTGTTCCACATAAATTGACTCGGGACAGATCTCTCGTAATTTCATTGGTCAAATTTGCCTTTCCCTCAATGCGGAAAGTCTGTTCCGGTCAGCTTAATTTGCAGTTGACTCGATGGCTTTTTAATATTAAAACTGTCATTATGAATCATCTTTCAACTATCTTTACAGAATATTGCTGCGTTGTTATTTTTAATCTTGCGTCATATTCTAAGCGGTTTATTCGAATGCACTTGGGCGGAAGTGCATATATCCATGCCATGAAAGATTACCTATATTTAGAAAAAGACGTCCCCGTGAAATGGAATACCTCATTCGACATATTTGTGTAACAATGATATCACTGAACGCATTTATTAGAATACGAGAAATCATAAAGTCTTACACTATAGAATACGAGAAATCATTCTTGACGCTTACAGCTAACGAAAGAAAGTTTTTGTCATAATTACTTATTTGAGTTTACCAATAATGTGTAAAACGTAGCAAACATATACTCTCTTAAACGTAAGTAAATTAAATACATAATAATAAAAATCCTTTTTCTTAATTAATCTTGAAATTATTTTTACCAAAAATATAATAAATAAAGGTTGCTTATACCTAAAATGGCATATTAATACTGCAAAGAGCAAGAAAATCTATAGCTTGCCTTCTAAATCTATCATTCATAAATTCATCTAATTGAATACATTTTTCAATGTCTCTCAGCCAAAGTTGCTGCAATTTTTTTGTCTGTGTAGATGACGTGAGTACATCTACTTCCGGAGTTTGGAATATCATAAATTGTTGATTTTGGACTTCAGATTCGAACAGGTTTGGGAGATATCCTTCAAATAAACAATCGATTAATTTTGCGCGCAAACATTTTGCGAACAGTGGGAATAATGACCGATCAAAAGGTACATCTGCAGCATAATATTCGTCAAGGATATTATCTGCGTCTCTCAATTTGTCTGCATCGTCAGTATCAACAAGCTGCGTATGAACCATCAAAATTTCTCTCATTAAATATTCAACGACTGGAGACTTTGCACCGAACCTAAGCATGTGCCGATATACTACGAGCGAGTATTTAAGAAATCTGTGAGATCTGGATGGGTCATTTTCACCTTCAACAATGTTGTATTTTTCAAGTGCGGAAAGAACTCGCTTTTCCGGATCGTCAATCAAGCTGATAATATAGTCCAGTGCATCAATTTGTTCAAGATGTCTCGACGGATCAAGCAAATCTATCAAGCACATTTCAAGTACATCCGCCTTGCACATATTCCGAGCAGTAGAAAAGCCGTCAATGAGGCTTTTGCCGACATCGCTTAGTCTTTGTCTGAATAGAAGTAGAACATTTCCGATCACAGTGTCAGTCAGTGGGAATCTAATCGATCGTAACTTGCATAATTTCTCAGCAACAGTTTGGGATGAAAAAACACCAGTTGAGCAAAGATCTAATAGAGTGAGCTGCACAACAGCGTTCTCTGAATCTGCGATAATTTCATGATATCCCATTCTCTTCCAGACATCTAGCAAATGTGGATGACTGATTATCGCCCTAGCCATAATTTTCAAGTCAGAAGCTGTTGCGTAACCGTTTGGAAGCAGGCCATCTTCGCGTTCAGCCAGATTATCGAATATATACGTCCGAAAAGTTGGATTAAGCGGGAAAGGCGTAAAGCCAGTTTCAACAATTAGTCTAAAGTCGGCATTACTTCCTAATATTTGAGAAACTAGCTGCATGTCATTACAATTGCTACTAGCGTATTCCGCGTTAAAGTTGAGAATACGCTCGTATACGTCATTAGCAATATTGCTACCCCACAAGCCGTGGTTTTCATAACCGAGTTTGAGTTGTTGAACAAAATATCGACTGACGTGTGTATTATTTAGCAGTAACCCAGTTAATTTAAGATTAAGGAATGGTTTACCGATCCTGACGGCATGGGACAGTGTATGGATGCGACCGTATCTATTGAGTAGCCAGTTATATTTTGTATGTGGCGAGTTTACCGTGTTGTACCAGGCGCGTGAACAGCACTTGAGGGAAAAAGGATTTGGCACGTAGCTTGCAATTTGTGATCTGAGTTCTTCAGATAACTTGTTCATTCGGATCCTGTTTCTATTTTACCAACCTGGTGTTGTTAGGAAAAAGAATTTTTTTTTTTTTCAATCTCACGTACGGCTTATATACAGTGTGTACTCCGTTTGATAGTAGTATCAAATAAGGTAACTCCTAAAGGCAGACTTTAGTATGCACATAGCATGCAAAGGTTAGCCAATGTAGTTTATCGTTTGTTCAAACAAAAAAAACTGCCTGCTGTAATGCTTCATTAAATTACATGCATACAGTGCGTGTATATACTTCTGAAGGCAACTCCGAAAAATATCTCTTCTCGTCGTTGTGGTATACTATACTACGTAAAATTGGACATATTAAATGCATCGTGGAAACAAATCATGGAAATCCATTGACAAGCATTCCGAAAGTTATTCCTGTTCTGCAACAACGACGCCACAATTTTTCTCTTCTCCGAGTCTTTGCATCGTTATGCCAAGCAATAATAATATCGTGAATCAAACATCGCATACAGCTATTTGTGCAGTCCAGTGCAATACTCTTTCCATTGATAAAGTGGTGATAACGGTCATGTAATCTAACCGTCAGTTATTATATTGACAAAGACTGATACACTGATGCAATGTATAATTTTTAAGCAACTGGTACAGTATTTTTATTTATATCCGGTGTTAGTAAACCGACTGAACCCTTTAGAAATTTCTTCAACATTTGTGGTACAAACGCAGATCAAATTCCGGACTATTAACAGTCAAACTCCGGTAACAAGGAAGACAAAAAACTTTTCTCATCGGCAATAGTTTTCTGCTTGTTAGAATACAGTGATAACTCGCTTGTTGTTATACTACTAAAAAGCTAACTTATATGCGCCGAGAACTAATTGTTTTTTGTCATATAGAAACATATGTGTGTTAAATCGTTTGTTTGCTGAATATGCTCGTCTTGTCTATATGATTGATTAGTACTCATGCAAATTTTATATTATCAACGGTTCGTCCTAGACTTGAAGCAAAAGTCTCGTACTTTGATATTGCGTTGAGAAATGAGCATAGGCTGAAGGCTAATACTAAAGCTAATGCTTAATAGTGGTATGGTTAACGTTGCATAGAACAATCTCCTAAAGGACCAGTTTACCACAATAATTAATAATTTACTTTCATATAAAAACACACCATAATATTTACAATACCTACAAACATTTACCTTTTTAAAAATGAAATCCAACTAAAACATAACCAGAGAAACTCACCTGGTTACTTATAAATGTCATAACGACCAGCACAAAGAAACAGACTATGGTCAATAATATCTTCCGCAAAAACTCAATGAAAAACCTTGCTAATAATGTTCATATTTTAATTTATTAATATACGATAATGTGTTCTTTTACAGATCTGTGTTACAAATATGAGAATACGTCTTGCGTTTCGATCATGCAAAGCACGGTTGCGAAGATTTTAAAAGCAAAGAACGAGTACACTGCTTACGTAATTAATCGAGGTGTCTTCAACAATCTACCAACTGGCACGACAAAAAATTACATTAGTGTGTATTGAAGTGCTCATCCCACACACGCACACACAATATGCAGACCGTAAGCAATCTACACTTAATGGAATGGCTTATCGAACGGAAACTCTTGCCTTAGATGATGCAAAATATGCGGAAAAATTTTTCACCGCAGTGTAACATTTAAACAAAGCCTGATACCTTGAACCTCCCAATAAAAGAAACAGCAGTATCCTCTATATCTCTATTTATTCAACTATCAGCGACTCGTTCAAATATTATCGTTCATCTAGGCTCCCGTTGAATGGATAGTTCACACTTACTTTACATTTCATTCAAAATATTTTAATCGACAAACTGTCTTTTCGTTCTCTCCCTACATGAAACATACGTATGCAGAGGATGATAAATTTAACTCCAAACACATGTATTCATTGCATATGCGATATGTCGAGATCTTCGAATGATTTTGTTCGTTGTCTGTGAGTGTAACAATGATCGCAAACAAAATAACTGTATTCAGACAACAAACGATTAAAGAAAAGGGCAAAGGAGGTTTGCATCAATCGTACCTTTCGGATAAACGATTAGCAGATAGATGTAGTACTACTGTAGATGCATGATAGCGTGGTTTCATTCAAAATCATCCGATATACTCGGATGGTACATTTACATTCTATAGTAGTTTGGTCGTCTGGGACAAATATCATGTCGGTTTTGTGTCAAGGTCAATTTTACATTGTATAAATCAATAAGATTTAAGTAGTGAGATGAGCTTTTGGACAAACAATATCTTGTAACTTGGCTTAACATGCTATGTTTTCTTTTCTTTTGTAGCATCATAACATTTTGGAAAAACAATGTTAGCACATTAATTTTGAGCTTGTCAAAGAATATAACAAAAATTTTTTCGTGCGCCTTATAACGATCTGCATTCTTTCATGCACAATTGAAAGCCCGAACGCCGTAACATTACACAAAGAGTAGAAAAACTGAAAAAATAGCTTACTAACTTGGAGCAAATTGTAATACCGTATTTCTCGGACTAAAGCTCCAGTGTATTTTACAAAACTTCGTTGTACCACACACGGGCTGGTACTTTGATCAGATAATGGTATTTACTAGGGAGTATCATGAGTGTAGTCGCTTGTAAATTTTCCGTCTGTGAACTTGCAACGTCTTGCTTGACATTAGTATAACCTCCAAAGGAGAATAATGCTATATGTTGGAGACGATGATTAACGAAGACGTGGATGGTTTTCGGATATGTGGTGATATAATAATTGATAAGATGTGACGGCTGATCTATGAAAATGGGTTGTTGGTGATTTGGGGTCGAAATTGATATTTGGTGTGGGATATATACTTGGAGATGCTAACTACCCTGTGCCGTTTTCCTGATCTCAAGTGTAATAGTAAAGTTTTTCACAACAGCGGTTAGAAGTTCGGTAGCACGATGCAAGCGAGGTCACCGAAATCTCAAATCCGTATCCTAAAATCCTTGTCGATCATCACAACAATAATTGGGTCGCTTAGATTTGGGGGTGATATGTGAAATGGGGATGATTACCATAAAATGGCCCAATTTCTTTGAGGATGATTTTCCGACAATCATCTATTTTTGCGAATGCACCATTTTCATAGATCAGTCGTCATGTTTAATAAAACGTTGTACCCATTACAAATACAAACCCGATACTGACCATGACCTTTTACTTACCATGAGCTTCGAATGATGGAATTGTTTACTATGCTAATAGTTCGAGAAATACAGTACTTATTTACTGCTCCTTTGATAATAACGGGTTTCGGATGAACTGACCGGATCGGAAGCACCTTCTTCTCGCCGAAATACATACCAAATACCGATAATTGATCCGAAAATAAGAACCCCCCAAAAATAAGCACCTCCCCCAAATTTTTGCCGCCGAAAATAAGCCCCTACCCCCAAATTAACACTAACTGTTCTATATTAATATGCATGTGATTTTATGTTACATAAAATCTAACCTCCGAAAATAAGCACCCCTTATAATCAAAGGGGGTGTTTATTTTTAGATGAGCCCCTTTGATATCAGTGGTGATGCGGAATTCTTTATGGCAATAAGCAACGGTCATATCAGCGACTATTCCGGTTTTTCATCGCAGCATTCGTTTTATGTTACTATAAAGGCGCGCGGTCGGTTTTTTACTTCAGGAAAGTAATTAATTTTGCAAACGACGATGCATTATATGTCGTTTATTATATTGTATTTCGGTATTATTACTCGTATTGACATTCGGCACGGGATACGGTACAGCTGTGTCATGTCTTTGATTAACGCCTTGTACAACAATGAGAGTGCTATATGTAACTGAGTCCTTCTTTTTTTTTAACTTCCCAATTGTCTTTTATTTATATTCGTCCTCAAAATTTTGTTTGTTTTTTTTTTCAGGAAAAACATAAGTAATAAAAAGAGCGACAATTTAATTCACACTTTAGAATCTGTAACTGAATAATTTAACCATCGCGATATCAACTACAACATATTAATTAATAATACAAATAGACAATGCACCAGAAAGACGTTTTGCCAAAAGATATTTTTTAACGACTAATGTAAATTTTTCAATCCTGCAATTAGCAACCATAGTTTTTCGTATAATCATAATATAAAATATGTTTCTTAGAATACAAACCCTCTTAGAATATACCCATAACGCACTTTAAAGACAGGTAAAAAAAAGTAAATTTCTCGAAATTTCATATCTACTAATAAAGTTATTCATAAAAACTGTTACGCGTTGAATCATAAAGAGTAATAAACTCTGTAATCTGTCTTCTAAATTCGCCATTTACCAACTCCCCGGAATTAAACCATTTTCGAATATCTTTTACCCAAAGTTGCTTCAATTCTTTCGTTTGCATAGGTGACATGAGCGCATCTACTTCTGGGATATTGGATATCAAAAAGGTCTGACTTTGGACTTTAAACTCGAACAAATGTGCCAGATATCCTTCAAACAAATAGCTGATTGGCTTTGTACGTAGGCATTCTTTGAAGAGTGGGAATAGTGACCGATCAAAAGGTACATTCGCAGCATAATATTCGTCAAGAATATCATCTGCGTCTCTCAATTTGTCCGCATCGTCCGTATCAGCAAGCTGCGTATGTACCATTAAAATTTCTCTCATCAAGTATTCAACGACTGGAGACCTTGCACCGAATCTTAGCATGTGCCGATATACTACAGGCGAGTATTTAAGGACTTTGTGAGAGGGAAAAAACGGTGGGTTATCTTTGACAATACTGTACTTTTCAAATGCAGAGAGAATTTGCTTTTCGGGATCATTAACCGAGTTGATGATATAATCTAGTGCATCGTGTTGTTTAAGAGTTCTTGCCGGGTCGAGCAATTCTATCAAGCATATGTCAAGAATATCCGCTCGAGATAAGTTGCGAGCGACAGAAAAGCCGTCAACGAGACTTTCTCCGACATCGCTTAATCTTTGTCTGAATAGAAGTAGAACGTTTCCAATCACAGCGTCAGTCAGTTGGAATCCAATCGATTGTAATTTGCATAATTTCTCAGCAACTGTTTGTATTGAAGGAACACCAGTTGAGTAAAGCTCTAATAGGGAGAGTTGCACGACAGCGTTTTCTGAATCTGTGATAATTTCATGATATCCCATTTTCTTCCAGACATTCAGCAAACGTTGATGACTGATTATCATCTCAGCTATAATCTTCAAGTCAGAAGCTGTTGCGTAACCGTTTGGAAACAGACCATCTTCAGATTCGACAAAATTTTCAAATATGTATGTGCGGAAAGTCGGACTAGTCGGGAAAGGCGTAAAGCCGTGAGTTTTAATTATTGTTTTGAGACCTTTTTCGTTTTCGTTTTCGTTTTCGTTTTCGTTTTCGTTTTCTGTTCTTTCTAATATTTGGCGAATTAACCGCATATCATCACAGTTGCTGTTTGCATATTTTTTTTTATAATTAAGAATACACTCGTATATGTCGTTGGAAATATTACTACCCCACAGACCTTGTGTTCCATAACCAAGTTTGAGCCGGTAAACAAAGTATCGACTAACATGAGTATTCTTTAGCAATAGTTCGGTCAACTCGACGTCGAGCAAAGGTTTACCGATTCTAACAGCATGAACTAATGCATGAATACGGCCATATTTTTTGAGTAGCCACTTATATTTTGTATATGGTAAATTTACTATTGCATGCCAACTGCGCGAGCAGCGTCCCAAGAAGACGAGATTCTCCACGTAACTCGCAATTTTTACTTTGAGCTCTACAGGTAACTTATCCATCACCTTGATTCAAAGCTAAGAAAAAAAAACAAAAAACGGAAACTATTATATACAAATTTTTTCAAACTACGAAGAAATTAGTGAAACATCAAATCTAGTATTACACGGGTTAATGTCAAATAAATAAGGAAATTTTCTAAAGCCATAGTAAGTGATATATTTAACATGATACAATATGCAAGCGACATTTAATGCAAACTCTAGATAACATATCAATGAAAGAATGATGTATCATGAGAATAGATTACATTTCATTTCGAATTTTGTAATACATACGTGAATCATCAAAATAGTCGCACTGCATAATTCTCAAGACCGTGTCATCCCGTGACCACTGCAATGCATGCTGTAATTTAGTTGCTGAAACCAAATAGTTAGCGTTTTGTAAGTCAATCTCTCAAAAATTATCGTTTTTTGTCAGAACTCAATATTATTGTGCCAGATGTTACGTCTATATTTAAACTCAAACTTGTCCCTGATGTATCGGGTCTATACCCAAATAATGATTTAAACTTTGAATAGCGTTAATCAAACGCAAACCTTTTTTTTTGTTTGTTATTTTTTTTTTGTTACAAAAGGGACTTTTTATGCATGCAGAAGTATTAGATGGAAAATTTTATTCCGTCGCAGTGTAACAACATTAAGTTACGTTTATTTTACGCATGTACAATAAGCTTATGTAAATTGCTCTCTATTAACAAAGCTTTCACTATATTTAATAGCAAATGAGCCGACAAGCGCCAAGTAAAAAATAATGTTATTATCAATAGCCTTCTTTCATAAAAAAATATCATTTAATAGCAATGACGCCGTTGTCTATTTCCATTATTGGATACGCTTTATTATCTGCCCATGTGGCAATATTAATTATTTAGATAAGCTTAACAGAACGCTTATCAAATTACATAATACACACAAAATGCATAAACCATCATTGCACAACAGAATTATTACGTTGGGTTGCTTTATCAACTGATTATGTTTCTATTCAATTATTTCTTAGTTAAATAAATAAATAAATATACTGTATATATATATACGCACAAGACATGTTGCTCATTAACATTCATTCCAGCTCTGTATTAGATAAGCAGAACGAAATTGTTTACAAAAGCTTTGGTACGTATCTTTAGTCTACAGGCAAAACCTGCTTAAACCGGCGGACCTAATTTGTTGGTTATTAGCCTGTTCGGTCAAAGAGATTCAAAATGGCAAGAAAAATATCGGAACACGATAGACAAGTATGTTATTGTTTAGCTAGAGAAAGTTTTTAATTAATAAAAATTTAATGTAGGTTGTGGAGTGGTCGGTTAAACTCGAGCCGGTTTAATTAGAGCCGGCGGTTTAAACAAGTTTCACTTGTATATTAAAAATTGCAAGGCTAAACTCATGGTATGTTCTCAGGCATGCTTGCATACCATCAGAAGCAGGGTCCGTGTAACAAATAATTTATGATACGTGTTAATGCTGTGTTTCTGTGTTTCATCAAAAAACATTAAATGGGGTAATTGAAATTCGGGGTATGTGTGACCTTCTCACGAAATCACAAGCAGAACCTCTTGGTCTAAGGAGAAAATGGTACGAGTTTTGAATGTAATCAAACTTTTTATTTCATTTTGTGACCAATCTTACGCTATCCACACGTAATTCAACAAGCCTTCCATCGCATTGACAAATCCGAGCCCCAATTTTTAGGTGAGATGAGTTTTTCAGAAACAAACCTCAAGATTATATGTACCATTAATTATGAAATTGTGCTCCACACAGGCAAAATAAAAAACCAGATAGCATTATTTGAAATAAAAATAAATGCTATTTCTGTGCGGCATTACTGGTTTTTCTAAAAATAAATAAACGGAAGCAATCTTGTGTAATACGAAAACTCCTTGTATTACATGTACTCAATTAGCGCAAGTCAGTGCTTATTGGAATAATTAGGCTTTCTCAATTTTACTCGCAGCTTTTAGGCGGGTTACAAATGTAGTACGACATTGCGTAAACTAGGTAGCAAATAAGCCTTTGTTTCTACACACACATTCAATTTTAAATTCACGTTTTTAATAGAAATGAGAAAAGTGGTCATATACGTTTCAAAAATCTGTTCTGAAAAGGCTTTTTTTTTTCAGGTTACCCATAATAAACGATTGCAGCCGTAAAGCAAAACGGTTTGATTTATACAAGTTTATTGATCAACTACGAAAAACAGCTACATTAAACTGGGTTTTAACAGATAAATGCGTGAAAAACAAATGTTCTCGAAAAAGCAGGCTGACACAACAAAGATTAACAACACAAATTGACAACAAAGATTGACAACAAAGATTGGCAACAAAGAAATGGTCTAACGCCCGGTACAATGTTTTCCGTGCGTAGCATAATTGTGTCTATGCAGTGCAACCAGTTATCAATTAGTCTGTGATAACACAGATCAACAACCTGCACATTTTAGTACAAATCGTTTGTTAGAGCAACACAAAATTAATGCGTCAGGAGAGATGACCGTTCTTCAGTAATAATAACATCCTACGCAACAGGACGGGTTTTGCATAATATTGCGTCTAAAAAATATTATGGATTTTACATACAAATTAGAATCGACAATTTTACATAACGAAATTATTTAGACTGCAATCCATTATTTTGTGTGCCAAAATAGTTCGTTCTTAAGCAGAATATTGATTTGTTATTATCAAATAAATTGATAACGCCAGATAGTGATACGCAATACGGATCTGTTGGCCGTAACGTATCGGATATTGAACACAAGCAAGCATTTGATTTTCCGATACTAAGTACAGAGAGCCATTTCTAACGCAAACTTTCTTATGTAATTTTCCCCTAAGTATACGGCATTTGTTTCGACCCATTGTGACACTTAAGAGATAAATGCACTTTCTATGTTCTGTAATGTTTTTTTCCGATTCACAAAATAATCATAGCCCGGACGCTGATTATGTAATAACTGTTTTCCGGTTAACGTAATTACATTAAAGAGTCGATTTGCTTCATCATCGGCTTACGACGTTATACTTTTGCTGGGGTTATATTATGGAGTGAAAGTAATCTTAAGTAATACTTATGATATTAGATGTCAACGAATCATTCTAAGACTGTAAACCGACTTTGAGGACGCTCTTCGAAAGCAAACATTGTAGAGAAAATTTTAAAATAATATTCTTGTTGTCTTAGTATCATTCCTTGGACCAAGCAACGGCATATCTTATACTTAGGATTAAAGTCGTATATTTTGTGTGCATAATTCAAATGCAACTTTCTGATGAGACTATTCCAATCATTAACTATTTTTTATGCGCACGCATTATTTTGTTAAATAAAAAAAATGTTTGATAAATATGACAAAGCGAATCGTGGAATGAGACAATCAAGGTATCCGGAAACTTTGGATTACTAGCAGTCCAAATTTGGTGTCTTACCCTCGTCAGAAATAGCGAACAACAATAAATATCTTTTTGCTTATCACCATCGTTAACAGAAAGAGAGTATCAACATATTGATTCAATCTATTAGTAATACCAAGATATGGAAATGCTCATTTTAAACAAACGAATTATATTACTGTAAATACAAAAGGCGCAAGACTTTATTTCTAAGTCACATGCTAGAGCTGGTTATTACAGACTTGAGTTTAGTCGTTACATATGTACATGCAGTACAATAATGTTCCGAAAACTCACATTAGGACGTGTAGGTTAAAAATATTTAGAAAAACCAAAAACTCTTGGTTTAACCTTTGAGATAGATTATTCGATGCCTAATAGTGAATGGCAAATAAGTAATTTAGAGTAATGGGTAAATGAATATAATCTTGAATCAAAAGCATAATCGCAAAC